AGGCCTAATAATATTATGGTTTCGACAAGGTCTTTCGTGCCATTACTATTCAAGACAAATAGAGTGATGATTAAAGCCGCAGCAAACAAGTCCATAATGTCGGCCCTTTGGAAGTTAGAGCAGTGGTAGAGCAGAGGCAGTGGCACTAGTGGCGCCAGCCACATAGCGCAACAATCCCTAGAGCAGTACATGTATAGAAGCTCATATTAGAAAACGTCCAACATGTGTATAACTTTGTGCGATCACTGCCTAGAATATACTAGATTTGGGGCCGAATGACGACTCTACTGTAGAACAGCTACTTCCTCCGTATACAAAAACTTCGTGACTTTTTTTAAGGCTGAGCACAGCTCTGGAATTGTTCCGTTTGACTTGGAATAACACTCGTGGCATTGTCTAACCTGTTTACAAGCTATATTCAAAGAAAAAAGCAAGTCAGATGAATGAGATTGAGTTTACTCAGAGTCTTTGTTGCTCGTGTCATTGTCACCTGACGACGCTGACTCCGCATCGCCAACAGTCGCTGCTTCCGATCGCATTTCATTCGGATTCTTTTCAGCTGCAGTGATGATCCGATGCGGGACTTTGGCTACGTCCTCTTCATTTCCAGAGCTGTGTACGAATCGGTGTCGACTCCATTCAGTCGTTCCAACCCGCGACCTCCATTATGGCGTGAAATGACTCGCTCAAGCACACCCACAAGCTTCGAATTTTCTCAGCAGGATAATCCTCCCAGCATTCTACAAGGGCTTCGAGGAGGTCCCTGTGATTCCTTGGTGACAAAGGAGACGTCTGACTGTAGAGAGGCGAAGAAAGCCAGGTCGTCGACATTCCGATCCGGAGTCTGCGCTGGTTGCATGACGACTGAAATGTTTCATCTTGCCGTGCCTGCGGAACCGATTTATGTTCTCACGCTGAGTATGGGGCCGCGGACCGCGAGTACGAGCCTGGCTAGCTTCAGGGCAGCGAGTGCCGGTGGACTCCGTGTTCCAGCCGGCAGCTCCACTTCGTCACGGTGTCAGTTTCGAGCAAGTAACGTGTTAGTTTTTTTCATTTGACTTGTGAGTTCCTGTTGGCAACGTTCTCACACGCATGGCTTCCATGGAGAAGCTGTTCGGGATCAACCAAACTTACCTCAACATGAATGTGGGTTGTCGATGACAGCCTTTGGCGCGGTTCGTTGAGCAGGTTCTTGCTCAAAAACACCGTTGAAAAAAGTCACGAAGTTTTTGTATACGGAGGAAGTAATTTTATCTGGTAAAATATTTAGATTTTTTTTAATCAGGGCCAATTCACAACGAGATATTTTAGCGATACGAGTTTCAGAGTTAACAAAGAGTGTGACTAGTGCAAAAGGGTACTGTACTGTACATGTAAAAGTTAGATTTGGCAAACAAAAAACCTAAGCAAAAACACGCCTTTGCCAAAATATCACTAGCGCTAAAATTAGCCATTTAACAGTAGCTGGGCTAAAGATGAGTATACTGGTTTGCAACTTTACAGCTTGTGCAGTGCATATTCATCACTGCACAAACTGTCACAGCTCCATTGTCTTTTCTTGATTTCCAAGTGAGGGCTCATTGGAAAGCTGATAAAACAAGGTTTCCAGACATGTGTCGTTTGATGTGGTGCGATGAAGAATAACTGAGCGCCGACGAGCAAAACACGGATGCATTTGAATTGGTGTTCCAATTCCGTACATGGCGGGCGCCAATGCTCAAACCAGGACTTTCCCTGTGACTCATTGTTGCATGGTGCATACGTAGTGGGACCAAATGAATTGCTTGAGCTTCAGGAATCTGGAGGACTTTGAATCATTATTCTACGCTGAGAAAACTTCAGAACCAATGACATTTGTGGATGTGGGTACAGTATCGCGCTCAGGCGCAAGAGGGCATCTCTCAAAACTTCAAAAGGCTTAAAGGGGATTATGTTTCTCCTGTTGGGTATTTTGTGGACATATTTGGACTGAGGAGATCTGTAGCTTTCCAACAGTATTTACATTGCCTTTGCGCTCTTACCTAAAGTATATCCCGGGAGCGACAGGGTCCAGGTCTGCAGCCCATAGCTAAGTTATAGGCATAGTAAATATTCGTAGTAAGGTAGCTTGACACATGATTAGCTTCGCTCTATATTCTTGTTCTGAAAGGAATTTAATGTCTGCAATTGTTTGGTCTCTTCGATCGAACGGTCGATTCATGATATATTTATTTCCCTTTTCCGCATGCATGCACTGGCCCCGCTTCAGTGCAGCCGCCATCTTAGCGTCGATACGCAATTGCGTGATCGCTATGATGCCCGTCTGAAACTGGCCGGCTTTTGCACGCAGCACAATCTCTTCTTGGTTTCTCACTTTTGCACCCAGTTCGCTGGCACGGCATGCCTACGCGGTCGTGTAAGCGAAGCCTTTGTTCGGAGATTTCTGATTTAGTGCTTGGTGTCTTATCTCTCGGAAGATTTCTTCTCAAAACAGTTATCTTTATGTGATGAACGAAGTAAGAATGGACCCGGTCTCTCCCCCTTTGTGGAGTCGTCGCGCAGCTGCTGGCCAGCTGTCCGCAACGGAGTGTGCATGCATTGTATAGTGTAAGAAGCGAAGTTTTCCCACATTTCTTCCGCTCCGCAGTACAAGTAGCCGAATGACCCTGTACATGCACAACATGAATGGAGTGCTGGAGCACTTGTCGATTCCTATCCCGCATTTTAAAGTTAAGAGCAGGAGCGTAACGTATCTCTTCTCTTTTTCTTTATTCCTTCCTTTTCTTTTCTTTTCTTGCCGTGGTGGCCGGCTATCACCCCTCTCTCGCACTTTGCGTGCCAATTGGTCATGGACGACAAGTTTAGTGAAATAAATAAAATAAATAAAGTATTTAAACAATCGACGAGGAGACAATAGTCGTAAAATGGCAATAAATAAGATCACAAGAAAACGTTATGGAACTTGACTTTCTTCATTTTTGCTGTTGTTATGAGTGCACAATTTATCTTATTTATTGCCATTTTATAAATAAAGTAAGTAAGCCTTGTCGGCGGGAGATGGGTTACATGGCGTCTGTTGTAGTAAATTGCTACGTCACGTCAACCAACTCTCGTGCGCGTCACGTGTTTCAACGCATGCGCAGTGCATGAAGACGTTAAGTATTCGTAAAAACCTGCGACTTGACGATTCGTTGACAGCACGGCGCGACGCCCACACGCAGCGCAGGACAACAAAAGACGAAAAACGGAAACAATCGTCCAGTCGGCTGACAGAAAGGGGAGGGGGGGGGAGGGGTCATCCGAACCCTGTTCCATGTTTGGTAATGTCGAATGCGTGCACATCGTGTGCATGCACATATGAGTGCATATGCAGGTCGATGCAGTGCATGTGAACTAACCTGGCGCCGACTTGCTTTGAATATTGACATTTTTGGAGATTTGATCGGAGTACCAGTATGCATTGAAACAATAAAAACTCCTCTCGAACAGAAGCCCTTGTTGAATAAAAGCCTCCGCAAATTAGCAATTTGAAAAAGCCCCTGGTTTCTAATGGAAGTACTGGCAAGAGACCAGTAACCGTCTAGGAGTGGCCATGAATGTGTGGGATTTTGAATACTGTAGCCAATGACTGGTCTCTCCATCATTATTTCCATATGTTCAGTGAAGTGCAGAATGTGAAAATAGTGGTCATTGGATGTGCTGATGTCTGCAACATTTAATCTCTTCTTAGCCGTGATAAGATAGAAAAGAATGTTCAACGCATACCCTATGAGACATGCATGCAGAAACCCGTGTTCTCGAACATCTCCGCATACTTTTTTTGTCACACTGGCCGAACAAATAGTCCTTTAACCCGTGTCCATGTCCTCCAGTTCACACAAACGATTCATGCCAGGGTGAAGGAGGGCGCTAGCAAAAGAAACACTAGCATTTCAGGCCACCCACACCAGTCCATCCGGAGAAGCTTCCAGCATGACCACAGAACCACAGCAATTACGCAAGCCGTGACCAAAATGTAATGCATAGGCTTTGCTTTGCTCTCTAAATAAAGAACAAAACCGGTTGCAAAAGGGAAAGGGAGAAATGGAGACTAGTTAAGAGTAACTGTTCACCACTGTAACTAGATACTACATACAGTCAGAAAGTATGGCTCAATATCTGAGTTTCCAAATTGCACAAAACTGGCGGTGTTTGTTCACTCTTTACTCCCTCAAAAACTGCCCCAAACCAGAATGTAGACGTTAAGTAACACTGACACACACGCAATCACGCAACCACCTACGCATATAGGTCTCGATAAACGCCTTCTGCTTGATATTGCCAGTACTCATCAGCATGCCCTTGTAATGACGTGCGCAGTGGGCGCTGGCATCATGCCACTTCTTCGGATGACCAGTTACATGCTTGTAGCACTTGTTTTCAAGCGCAAAAAAGCCGGAAGGACAGTCGCCGCGCACCAGACGTACAGTAGGTGCTAAGACAGCAAAGCAAAGGAAAGAAAAGATAGTACATAAAAAAAGACTGATCGGCATGTATGCAAGAATATCGCCGCATGTTGAAATGTGTTTGAGCTGACAAACGTTTTCCTCGACACCCAAGCACTGTACAGCAGCAAACCCTGTAACTAAGGACTACCGTGATTAGCGACCAGCCTGGTGCTACTTACTCACTACTTCGCCAGGCAAGGATGTTCTCACATTCAAAAGGCACTGTAACTAGTGACTACCTGCTCAACCCGACCAGCGATCACCTTTTCCTGTCCCAGCGTCAATTTTTGACCTAAAACTACAGTCCATTCAGAAAATGATGCTATCCTAGCAGTTGGCCATAAATGGGTCAACATATGAGTTTTCGTCCCAATGTTTTTGGTAATCCCCCATGGAATGCTCTTCCAATTGTATTTTTGCAGTCTATTTCTCCAAAAAGCAAGCCATAACAAGAATAGGATTTCGGCCAGGTTTTGCCCCAAAAGCACTGAATTGGGGAAAACCATGAAAATCCAGGCCGTTCACTCAACTTGTATAACAGTACATTTGCGGCTCAAACCCCAGTTGGGGTACCTTTTCTGGACCCTTTTTCAAGTTTCGAATCTCGCGGCACTGCACAGTGTACCACAAAATCGCCAAATATGGGAGCTCTCCAGCGCCAGCGCTCATCTTTTTCTGAATAGACTGTAGTTATCGAGATGTAGGAAATAAAAATAAAAATTTGAATATTCTCATGCACATGTCTCAGAACCTGCTATCCTTCGCAGTCTCCATCACCAAGAGTGTAACAGGTGTATTTATGCTACGACCTGTACAACACAAGAGCACTGTGCTTTTCTATCTCCCAGCTCTCTCCCTCCCCCTCTCTCTCTCTCTCTCTCTCTCTCTCTCTCTCTCTCTCTCTCTCTCTCTCCTTCTTCTTCTCTTCTTCCCACCCCCCCCCCCCCCCCCACCCCCATCTCCCGATAATTATTAGCTCCCTTTTTTTTTCGACGCGTTTGCTGTGCAGTGAAGCCGAGACCATAGGTCGGTGGAGCACATCAGACCCTGCACCACGTCCACGATTCATACCTGCAATGCTGCACCGCTGCTTTGCATGTCATGATTGTAAGCTGTGGTCTTAGTAAAAACTAAAAAACTAAAAAACTAAAAAACTGTCTTGAACTCTTGATACTCTCTTGGTACTGCAACCGAACAAATGGATGTGTCATGACCCGGATCAGACTCGTCGTGAAAGCGACCATGCATTGAGTTCAGCAGCCAAAGCTAGACTCCGAAATATTCTATAGTTCTGTAAGAACCATGATTAGTCCTGCGAAGGATTGGGCACTTTCGTTAGTTGAGCAATCATGGCTTACAACTCGTGGCCCAGAGCCGCAAAGTGTTGTCGTACGTCGGCAACACCTTCAGTACAAACCGTCAGCATTGTACTCGCTACACTCTGAGCTTGAGGAAACCACGCTTAGGCCACACCAAGTTAATTCTATGTTTCGCGTCGGATATTTTCTGGAAAAGGCACGCGGGCGGGTGGAAAAAAAAACAAAAACAGAAGAAAAAGAAAACTCCATTCTATGTGTACTGAGCCATGTTGCACACAGAATACCACTACTAAACTGTCACTTCTATCCAAAACGACAACAAGTCGTCACAGGACAGCTGGCAGACTGGGCTGGAACCATACAGAGATTTCATGGATGGCTTCTCCTGCATTTTGACATGAGTCGAGTGGGATCCCGCTCCATCACAATCGTGGAAAATCTCGAAGTCCTTTACACATGGAATCTCTGCTTGCTTGGTGAGCAGGCCCTAGGCCTACCGCACGGCTTGGAAAAATAGAAATTTTCATCTCTCGCACCTTCTACGTACCATCGCCTGGAATGCAAGATTGTCGAGAAGCTGATAACCTCTGATCTGCCATACTGGCTAGAGAATGTTCGCCAGAACAGCCATCGATTGGCTCGTCTAGGTTCTTTTTTTTTGTCAAGGATTCGAAAAGGTACGCGGGCGGGTGATGCGAAACATAGAAATAACTTGGTGTGGCCTTAGTCCTGCAAGGGAGCTGATACTTTTGTTAGTTGAGCAAGAGTGGCGCCTCTTCTTGTGTCGTAAGACGCAAAGGGTCGACAGTACTTCGCGTACTCTAGACCCCAGGCCCGTTGGAGGGAACATGGAATTGCCGCCTGCTGCTATGTTTGGGGGGACGAGCCCATATTGGGTGAACCGAAGGACGCAGCTACGCTTCCCGCCTGTACTGTACTGCTGCAATGCATCCCAGCCACCGGGTCGCGGACCAAGATCATGCCAGCATTTGGAGATCACTGATATTCACATTTGGGTGAGCGAGCTCCCTGTATTGATTGATCTTTGTCCTATATTCTAGTTTGGCTGATTCCACATATTGCACCACTGGTTGTAATATAGAAATAATACGCATTCTTGCCGCTGTATACTTTTGATCACATAATGTAGCATCATAAGGAGCTGTTTTGCTAACATTCATCCTCGATCCGGGGAGCTCACTACTCCTCCGACTCTCTCCTGCTTTGGGTCTTTTGACTCTTCACGCTTGATCTTCGATCTAGCATTGCAATGGTTGAATAAACACTGTTCAAGTGGAATTGGAAACCTGTCGGTCTGTGTGAGCTAGCTAACTTGGATGGCGAGTATATTGGTCGTCTACCTGGGGAGCCACTAGACTGATCTAAGCCAAGTCACAAACCCGCCAACGCGCGGCCATGACAGATGCAGGTTCACTTGGCTGTGATCAGCACTGCACCTGTCATGACTTGGCTACTGTGGCTATGGATGTTGATAAACTAAGTGACAGCATCAACAAATTTGAAGCCCAGAGCCAAGACAAACTTCCACAGGGCCAAGGGAATGCTCGTCTTCTGGCTTCAGAAGGAGCAACTGAATTTGATATGAGCCGTGATCAGCAAAAATAGACCTATACAAAATTTGTTTTACTGGAAATTGTTTCTATGTCCTTGGCTGTCATGCACAGAAGGCTTGATGCAGATTGCACAAGGGTAAGTGAGTAAAAATGGATCGGAAGGATACACACTCTAGGTGAAATAAAAAATAATAATAGAGAAGAACTCAGATGGTGAGCCAAGGAAAAATTGTAAAATGGAAATTGTGGGCACATGAAGCCTTGGAATGTAGCTTGTGCTCGGCTCGATGGCGCTCGCCTTCCCCTCTTTGGAATTAGCACTTATATCCATGAGCCTTCCAAGTTGGAAGGCCGTTGGTTAGCGCTGTCGAGCAGTGCTCAAGCTGACTTTCATGCCGCGGAATGTCTCAGTACTCCTTGTCAGTTTTGTGCTAGATTGTGCACGTCTGACTGTTCAAAAATCTGGCTTAGTTGGGGGACTCTATCGCATAACTTGGGGCCACGATTTCCATAATAGAGAAGGTAACCTCTTTAGCGCGATCGTCGTACTAGTACGACAGACATGATTTGCATGTTCCACGCCCGTCGTACTAGTACGACGCGCGCTGTGCACTGTATAGTGAACCTGCATGTCATACTCGTGGGGTCCGTGTTGAGTCCATAGCGACTTGTTCAAACTATCGTAACTCACTCAACACTTGTTCGATTCTCACAATCGAAACATGCATCTGCCAGGGAAAACTCTCAGATGGCGACAGAAACTGATTGTTGAGATATGCGACTCGACACAACAAAATAATTTCAACTCGATTCTTTTGCGCAGTCTGCAGAACGCGTATTTTCCATTTTGGATCATTTTGCGATACTTGGTGCCATGGAAACAAGATTCAAATGATGTAAGTGGATCTCGTGAGTCCTCACAAAACACTTGAGCTCATACGAGCAAGGAGACCGAAATGGCAGCTGAATATTTGAGCTCGTTTAGTCTTGGCCATGCTCAAGTCTGTCGAGCGCGTGGATGAAGTTTGCCCGACTGTAGCACGGGGTTTTGTTTTTGCTCCGAGCTGGGTCTCACACCAGTTTGTCCCTCGTCTCAAGACCTTTCCAGGAAGCTCAAGATCGTGGAATTCGTCCAAGGGAAGGTAAAGTTATCGATCCTTGAACAGCTAGTACTTTCATGGGAAATGGGACTTTTACAGGTGTTGACGTGGGAAGCGTTCAGGTAGGGTCGTGCTAAAGAGGTTTTAAGATGCACGTTATATCTGATGTGACACGAAAATCCAGCTCACGTTATTTGGGTCTTGCGTCAAAACACAGCGCAAGTGACCTGCAGTACACATCGAAATTGGGAGTTTTACGCGAAATTTGACGTGAAATTGCATGTCACGTTGGAAATAAAGTGCATCTTAACCTCTCTAATATCCAAAAAAAAAGACTTCCGTGAGGGTCATTGTCACTCTTCTGATCTTTAGTTGCTTGTCCACGTTTTGTGGGATTGATTTCCGACTCAGGTAGGACTTCAGTCCTTGTTCTTGGTTGGGCGCCTCCTGAGTTATATGGACATAGTGATTAGTTGACTTGATTCCATTGACCATCAAGCACATGATAACAATAGCACCTGGTGTAGTGCAGCGTACTGGTTCTTGTGCGGGCCAGCACAGCTATCAGGATTAGTGTTTACACTAAGAACGACTAGGTTGATGATTATGACATGATGATACTATCCTAAGACAGGTTTCAGCAGCTTAGGCAACACATCAGGGGGACATAAAAAACGCACGGTGAAAACAAACTCTTCATATCCACATCGAAGGCCACAAGCATTTGACAACCACGACTACTACTTCCTCCTTGTAATTAAAATTGTCGCTTCGCACATCGCAATGTTTTTGGCTTGCTTGTCTTAGTCGGGTCAGTCGGAGTCGCTGTTTTCTGTGTTCGAACATTGCTAAGACCCTCCCTACGCAAATGTCTATTTGACACATGTAAACACACATACACAGACACACACACACACACACACACACACACACACACACACACACACTGTCACACACACATGCACACACACACACACACACACACACACACACACACACACACACACACACACGCACGCACGCAAGCACGCATGCATGCACGCATGCGCGCACCCACACACACACACACACCTATGCTGTTGCCGCCACCACTTCTGTTGCCCACCGCTGCCGCCACCATCATCACCATCAGGGGTGGGAGAAGTGGCAGAAAAAGCAACGCCAGTAGCAATTGGCGGAGGCAGCAACAACAACAACTGCAATAGAGTACCGTCGTGCTCACCTGTTCCATACTTGCATACATAGCCTTTGATGCTGCTAGCGCACGACGTTTTACCCCACTGTCCGACATCCGCAGATCCAGCAAACACAGTACCACAGTGGGGCGCTGAGCCACTTGCTCGCAAGTTACATTTCCACCTGGCATAGTACGGAACCGCTCCACTCTCATACCATTCAAATGTGCCGGCATTCTTTGAATCAGTCAAACCAATCCACAACTCACTGGGTTTGGTGTATTTTTTCTCGAGAGCAGACTGAGCAGGAGAAAACAGCAGAGAAAAGGCTTTTCGGTACCCGTTCAACCGCTTCAAACTTATGAGTACTTTGAGTATTATTTCAAGTAGGGATGAAACGATCATCGATTTCTTCTTATCGAGTACCATTTATTGAAAGCGATCGAGTTATCATAAAGTGAGTATGCTGGATATGTGCACGTATGACGTATCAAAATGGTACTGGTCTCCGGAACATGATAATAGTGCACGAATGACTTGTGCATACAGTAAAATGCAGTACTAGTATACGCTCGTACATGTATGTCACGAATGCTAACTAATGGAATAGCATACTTGACTTGTAATTACCGGTACAAATACTTCCTTTTGACTGTTTTCTCATTTTCGCAAGTGAAGCTTTATCGAGCTACACTTTTTATTCTATCGCCATCATAATATTGGGCATCAATGCCCGTTTGGTTTGCGATGTAAAATAGAACTTCAAAACATATCTCGGAAGTACTATGACATCTCGTCTAGAACTGTGTTGTAATACGGAGCATCAGCAAGTCGAATTTTCGGTTCGATTACCCGCGTGACAAAATGAAAATCAAATCGCAAATCAAATCCTGCACAGCCAGTAAATTGTTGGTTTTCCTGTGGGGGGGGGGGGGTAAAATCCTGCATAGCCAGTTGGTTTTCCTGTGTGTGGGGGGGGGGGGGGGATACACACCGGATCCCAAAGGTGCGATGGCGACTTGAAAAGGTGTGAATTTTGTCACTTTGAATGACTCGCAGTGCTGGGGTTGACTATCTCAATTATCTCTGCCTACGACTTCTTTGATACTCTCAAGAGATTGCCTGTCCACGAAGCTGCCGGTGGTAACATCCCGAACCGCATTCTGAAGGAGATCACTGGTGTCATTGCCCACTCCCTCTGCAAAGTCTTTAATTTAACCCTTTGAAGACGAAGGACGAATGTATCCGTTTTTTAAGGTATAGCTGGATTCCTAAAGACGACGAGTATATCCGTTTTTGAGAAAATTGCGATATCGATATATTTTTAGGTGCTTGAAGTCGCTCATATGTTGCTCAGATGAGTACGATCTGATTCTTCGTCAAGGTGAGACATGTCGCAGTCGATCCGCGTCGGTCCCGTGGAGAACCGGCTACATTTGAGTATACTCAGGGAATGCGCCGATCGAGAATATATTTGGAATTTGAAACTAACTTGTTACTTTGTGGAGAGTGCGGGTGGCACGTAACCTGTCAACATGTGTGGAACATGCAGCACCCATCCAGCTCTTTGTGTTGTGCCATGTTTTGGTGAGTACCACACAAAGGTCCTATGCTGGCTGCCATGGAGCTTTGCACTTATTGGCGAAATCTGTGCAGGAGGATACTAGAAAACTGAAAACTTTAGCAGAAGATCGCAAAAACACATGTTTTGAATTGACCATTCTGACCGCTAAATTGGATATAGGATGTAGATTTTTTGGTTTTTGTTGCCCACTGATGTCAATGTCCCTTTAGAATCAAACTTTAGGACATTATAATTATCAATTTTTGAAAATCCCGATTTTTTGGAGAAAATCGCAGCATACACCTATTTTGAATAATTATTGACCATTCTGACCTCTATAATGGATATATGATGTACGAGGTGATTGGCAAAAAAATTACATGGCATATTATGTTACAGTTTGAGGAAAATATCGCTGTCGAGGACGATTCCTTTCTTCTGGTGTAGTGTTTTTATTAGTTAGATAGATTAGTGAGTTGCCAATGTATAGTAGTAGATAGGCATCAGGAGCGTTTCGCGACATCGTTTTGTTCCGCCGTGCTGTGAGTCGTCAAGGATGGATTCACACTCATGATTTTGTATAAATAGATGCAGTAAACTAACTCTCAATGGAGACTAGAAGTACCTCTGAGCGCCTGCGAGCGTGCCCTACGGCAGGCCAGACCCCTGAGCTGGTCCCAGAGGCTGGCCCTCAGTCTGCCACGCGATCAGACGGAGCAGGAAGGACTAAGAGACTGGCCAGAGGCGAAGGCCAGAAATCAGCAATTTTGGCTGTACACACTTTTCATTCGCCAGTCACAAAAGGCAGTTTCAAATCAAAGGCTGGTACTGCTGCTGCATATGGAATTAGCAAACAGCTTTACAGCACATATGAGTCTGAGCTCGCCAAATCAGGTGTCTTGGTAGAAATCCAGCAGGGCAGGTTGCCAGGTCTGGAGTTGCCGCCGCGTGACGTTAATATGTTGGGTGTAGACGGCGAAGCACTCATTGGGGTGGTCCATTGTCTTCTCCCAACACACTCGATATGGATATAGTCAAGGAGTTGATTGTCAGTCGCTGCACTCGCCTTGGAGATGGTGCGCAATATGGAATACATGGTCTGACGGTAACATGTTACCAGCGAAACTGCTGCGAACGTTAAACTATAATTCAGAACACAGCCATACCTTAATGAAATCTGCTTCAGCACTGGTCAGAATGGAGGCGAGGTCAGATCCGCTGATAGCGCGGCAGGCAGCACGCGCAGAGCTGAAATCCAGCGAATCAGTTCCAAAGTAGTAGCAGTTGTCACCAAACCGCATCCAGTCTGATGATGGACAATCAGGCTCTGAAATTACACAGGGAAAGGAGTGTAGGTTCGTTCCCCACAGAGAAAGGATCTCTTAATTTGCTGGAAAAAACTCCTATAATTATAGGATTTGAAAATATGTATTTTTTATGCCATAGTTATTGGTCACCATGACCTATAATATCAGCATAACGTTTTTCATAGAATTTGTAAATATATTTGAGGCATGAATGTCAACTTCTTAGCTTCATAGGAATGAACTTGGATGGAGAGCCAAGGATTATTTTATAAAAAGTAAAAAGGGCCAATGAACCGTACAAGTTACGCTATAATGTCCACTAACACCACCAGTTACTAAACAATCAGCTCATGCTGGTGGTGTTAGTGGACATCATAGTGTAACTTGTAGTTTCTTATTCCTTTTTTACTTTTTATAAATAATCCTTGGCTCTCCATCCGAGTTCATTCTTGCACACCTGATGAGCCATCCTTATCTATATGGCAAAACGATCGTCGAGTGAAACTGCTGCTTGTTACCGCTGCTTATTGTCTATCTAAAGTGTCATAGTCGAAGTACAGTGCTGTTTCACTGAGGCGTTCGGTTTTGCATGATTCTTGTTCGCATAGCTTCCCCTTTTCTTGATCTTTGCATCTTTTGAGCCACGCAAGTTGCGTGGAATGTTGCTTTGCGTCCTTGAATCGTGGTTTGACCGTATTGTCCAATGGTCTTGCCAGTATCGTCATCGACATGCGTGAACATCTGCCAACGTCCCTCACAGCTGAGACTTTCAGCTCGTGCTCATCTCGGCTGCGCTCACCTTCCCCTCCTTATGCTATTTCTATAACTTAGAACCTTCCAAGTCGGAAGGCTGTTGGAGTGCGCATCCCAGATGTACTAGAGCTGTTAGCCAGTTAGCTATAGAACGTCAGTACCGTCGGTCAGTGTCGTGCAATGTGATCTTAGGAGATTCGTAGGAAGATACTAATATCTCATGAACACCCATTTCCAGCCAGAATTTGAACTTTTGAGCAGCATTGCTCAGCTGCTGTCATGGAAAGGACTGAAGTCCTGAATGCGCAGACGAACATTACACGTGTGGCATGGGGTGGTTTCATGACGACATATCGCTCATGCTGTCGTGAAACTACCAGTTTTAAGGATAAAACAAGGTCCAATAAAATCTCAAATTCTATTATATCAGATTCAAAAATAGGGCACAGGCCTTAGTAATATTGCCCAAGGAGATGAGCCTGAGATGTAAGTATTCGAAAAAAAGTATCTTATTCAACTCTCAATATCTATAAAGACCTAGCAAGGAAGAATTGGTCACATACTTTTTGCTATTCTCGTGCCACACCAATTTTGAGTTGAAAAATATGACCAAAATCCTATAATATCTAGCAAATTAAGAGATAGTAACTAGTGTTGAAACGATCTCACTGGATACTCGTTAGCTCGCTCGCCAGAAACTCGGCTCGTTTGTGCGGCCAGCTCGTTTGCACTAACGAACACCGTACACCGTACTCCGTACACATGGCAGTACATGTCGACCGGGGAGTCGTAAAATATTTTACGACTCCCTGGTCGATCGAGAGTCCAGTCCCGATCCCGTGCAAAGTGAAAATCACTCGCAGTTACAGGTGACTGTATGCCTGCACGACACTTGAGTTGTTTCAGTTGTCGTTGCAGCTTTGGTGGACTCTACTGATGTCTTGTTCCGCATCTGCTGACCTGTCGCAGGATATGCTTCGGTCACCTCTCCATTCGAGTTAAAGTTACGCTCAGTCGTTTGGAAGTTTTCTCCCGCGATGCAGCGAAGACCAGGGCCACTTGCAATCTTTGCAAAATGGTCTATTCTTACAAAGGCTAATCGACGACGGCGCTGAAAAGACATCTCGACACCAAACAGCAGTCCGAAGTGAAGCAGCAGCAACCCCAAATGCTGGCAGTGATTATTTGGACCAGCTGAAAAAATCGAACTTAGAAAAAAAATTATTCAAAAAAATAATCATAATTATTTGCCACATCAATGAAACTCGTTAGCTCGCTCGATAGCTTGCTCGTTAGTGGAACTGATCGCTCGTTTGTTATAGATACGCACGTTTCAACACTAATAGTAACCGCAAAATTCTTCTGGTCGTGAGCATGCACTACACGATAATGACAGATCGGCAGTGATTGCGTGACTTGTGGCCCAGCTTACCACCCACGCACATGCACAGGTGTGCAAGCTGAGTACTGGTTTTTTTCTTCTTTTTTATGTAACTCCGGCTCTGGCTCTAGACAAGGAAAAAATGGCTGGTTCTTGTGGAAAAATGTGCTGTCCTTGCCTAGCTGTTCTTACTGCGATATGTTCTAACTATATTAAAGATGACTTTTGTTGGCTCTTCTGCCTGGATTTCATTGATAGATGCGTTAAGCCCATGGATCCTTGCATGAGTGACACGCGAACTGTAAATATTATGTGAAATACATGCACTCTGTGGACGCGAAACATAGCAAAAAAGCGGCCAGGCCTAAAAAAGATGTGCATATAAACACAAGAAGCACAGAGTACCATGCATCTGGTTTGTTGTAACTACAGTCAAACCTGTCCTTGCACAAACACCTGAGAAAACGGACACTGGTAGAGTGAGAACAGGTCCTCTCAGTCCCATCCATTGTGTGTACACTTCCTACATTTCAGTCTGCGAGGATTTCATTTTTGCCCCAGAGATTCGGGCAACGTTTAGGCCTTTTCCGATGATCTCGAAATTTCATCTAAAACTAGTGCAGAATATTGACAAAGTCCCATGCAGTGACTTTTCCCTTCTATTAGTGGTGAAATCCATATACCCAGCTCTTGAATATTCATTCATTTCGTCGCATTCGGGCGAATACTTCGTATGGTGAAGATCTGTTATGTCACTTTGATTGCGGTGGAAATGTACAGTAAAAACCTGTAACTAAAGACCACCATGACTAGCGACCAGCCTGGTACAGGGCTGCCACTTGCTCCGATTTTTCGGAAATCCTCCGATTTTTGATCGCCTGTCGGACAAACCGGCCGATTGTGTTCCCAAAGAGAGACAACCGATTATTATATTTTGAGCGCTTTGTAGTCCAGTTGGCCATTCGGCGCTTCCAGGTCGCGTTTGGCCGGTCATTGTACATGTACATGGACATGTAGCTGTAAAATGCACGCGTGCTTGCATGTGTGCGGACAGTTAAAAAGTGTTCTGGGGCCCCAACAGCAAGCCATTTTCCTAAAACTTTTCACCGGGGGACACCCCGGACCCCTTCCGATTTTTCTCCATCCAAGTGTGGCAGCCCTGCAGGTACTACAGACCACTTCGCCAGGCATGGATTCATATAATTATGGTTGTGCAGTGCAAACCTCCAACTAAGAACCACCTGCCACTAAAGACCACTTTCTCTGGCCCCAAGGGGCGGTCGTTAGTCACAGGTTTTACTGCAAATGCCCTTCACAACGAGTACAGTACAATGCATGGCATATCGTGTGTAGTGTGTAGTGACTTGAAATCCAGAATCGAAAAATGTTTCAGTTATAAAACACGAAAATCTACTCGGCCCATCCATCCATAAACGAAGCGTTTTCTATCACGGACAAGATCAATGATTACAAACAGCCCCTCTAATGGACTGCAGCTGCATTACCGTCAAATTTCAACATTAATTAACCGTTTGCAGACAATACAGACCAGACACAGAGAACACGGCTAGTGTGCGTGCATGCGAAAGGGCTTACTTGTACAGTTGGGCTCAGTGCCGCCCCATGTCTGGTCCACCATGCAGCGGCGCGCTGCGTCTCCCACAAGTGCATAGCCGTCGTCACACGTGTACGTGATGGAACTGTTAACTTCGTAACTGCCGCTGATTTGACCGTTTGCGAACGTGTTCTCTGGTTCAGGGCAGAACAGACCTATGGAGCAAGGATATAAGGATATGAAGACAAAGCAGAAGTTACCAAGATAGAAGGCAGAGCCGGATATACCAATGTTTTCTTTTTATAAAATCCCCTGCCAGCATATCGATCAATATATTGACCTTTGATAAATACCCACACTCATTAGTGACCATACCATCAACAGTATCAAATTCAAATAAATTTGCTTTGACTCAATAAATATTATACCACTGCACTTTTCCATCTAGAACTGAACTTTTCTCTAAAAAGGAGTATTTTATAAACAGTATTTTTTTGGCCTTGGTGGTATGTTATAACATCCCACTGCACACACAGACATTCAAGACCAGGTTTGGGCTAGATCGGGACTCACACAGGGAGAAATGATTAGGCGTACACCGCGCTTCCACATGGTAGGACGAATGCGGAAGGGGCAGCTAAAGAGGTTAGGCTTACACCGCACTTCCACATGGAAGGACAAATGTGGAAGGGAGAGCTAAAGAGGTTAGGCTTACACCGTGCTTCCACATGGCAGGCCAAATGTGGATAGGCTGCTAACACGGTTACGCTTACACCCTGACAACCGCATGGTAGGACGAATGCGGCGGGGCTGGTAACCTGGCGTTAAGTGACCAGCTCAAAGGCTTATGGAGTGCTTTGCAGGCCACCTAACAAATACCACCATGTTGTGAGTCCCTATTTATTCGTAACGTTGATATGAGTTGCTTTTGTGGTGAGTCTGGCACCATAGAAAGCGTTAAAGTTGGGTGGGTTTGGGATGGGGAAAATCCTGGCAGAGAGCTAGTTTGTGAGAAAACAGCGAGCCAGAGCAGCAAGCAAGCATGGAACAACAAATGCTTGAAAGTAGAATTGGTACGCTGTGATGATATTGGAACTATATCATTTAGTGCCATTAAATATCCCTATACATATAAGTTTAACCTTCACATCTTCATATTTACACCTGTCCATATATGACATTAGATTTATCATGCTGCGTACTACTTCCCGTACTACCGGTACCTTTTCTAGTACTCACATATTGTACAACTTTACACACCAAGATAAAATAACAAGGATGACAGCCCTTCAGGGTTAGTTGTCGG